TCGCCTTTTTCATCAATTTCTTCCTCCATCAAGCCACATATCTCTTCTCTCATGCCTCACATATCTTTTTCTTTACCAAGGTTGAATTGCTTGTTCATTTCTGAAAATTTTGATGTGTCATACAATTACACAGGTAAAAAAATAAGAAAGTTATAATCATTTTACCACAGCCCCCTAAAAATCACAAAAAATGGCTGCGTAAAAAGGTGGAATAGGCCCGCGTACACTAAGAGTTAAGGGGATTTCAACGACCATGATGACTGGTGCTGTAGTCCAACTCAATGCAGTTCCTAAAATATTCAAGGTGCTGGCTGTGTCTGCAACAATTAAAAAAAAAAAACCCAGAAAAAGTGCGCTTACGTCATTTGTGATGAGATGTTCCTTGTTCTGCACACAACCCCAGGGGGCAATCCCAATGGTCATCACACGACCTTCGGAGGTCAGTCCAAAGTCCCTCACAGCCTCACCAACGTGCTTCATCACACCCGTGTTGGTTCCTCCTGTCACTATCCAGGCTCCTGAATGTGAAAAAAAAATATATTATGCAGACACAAAATGACTCTTGCATCAACATAAAAGGCCTTGAACTTTAGTTTAGTAGTTTAGTAGAGGTTTTTCGGCGCTCGCAACTGCATAAGGTCATATGAGCGCCAGAAGATTAGAGCTGTTACAAGAGAATAACAAACATAAAAAAGATGAAGAGGAGATAAGGACGATAGATGTTTGATAGGAAAGAAGAAGAAAACCACACCAAAGCACCAGCCAACCACCCACAGGCTTTGAACTTCCTGCTCTTGCAAGAAAAGAAAAAAAGAAAACAAAAGAGCTGAAATAGATCAAGAATAACTTTTTACTGAACTTGAACAGAGGGGAGACTGAAAAAGACCAGGATACTATCCGATTTTGTGGAAGCATCTGAGCAGAAAAATAAGTGGTGAACTACAACTGGCCGGGTCCGTGGCAGATCTGGCACTTGAACAAAAATATGACACAAAAGTGCTACTCGTATAAATTGATGGCAAGAAAAAAACACAGACTTCATGAATCACATTCAAAGAAACAATATGCTCTTTCGGATTACACAATCCAAGTGAGCTGGTGCGTCGTGCAAAGATGATTTTAGTATATTATGGTTCCCTGAAAAGTTTCCATTTTTAAATAAATTTGAAATCATCTTCACTTTATGCTAATTTGCAGCACAATTATTTTACGAATTCTTCTGAACAACAGCTCATGCTGCGTTGCCTTTTAGCATGAAGGCAACTTGTGAAATTACAGGGGGGGGGGGGG